ATGATTGCAGAGTTAACAAAAACTCAATCGATGTTTAGATCGGCAGATTGCTCGTATTTTCAAATTGATAATTGATTATTTCAAAAAAATGTAATTAGTATTTAAATAACCTCGACCTATTTTTAGAGTTATTACAATTATTGGAAATCAAAATCAAACAAAAAAGTCTATTATTTAAGCTCACTGTTCCAAATTCAATGTATTAAAGGACTTTGCTAAACTCAATCAAAACACCAGATGGATCATATTAAACTTAGCGTTTCCAAATCAGGTCAGCTAATAAAAGATAGTTTCTCTAACTTAAATAATAAGACAGTTGTGCATTCCGATATTCTTGTGCACAATTTCTATTGAATGAATTATTTACAAAGCGTTAGAAATACCGTTTCTACAATAAACCGTGCACTCTAAACCTAGATTCTTTAAATAAACGTTAATAACAGACAAAAAAGAGATTACTTATTTGTTCAACAAATCCCAAAAGATGAATGATGAAATAAATTCTTGATTTGCAAATTGCGGAGTAAATACTGACCAGTTCGAGATTGTTACTTGTGTGTATTTTATGGAAACGGAAAGAAAGTGAATGGCGCTTAAGACACTGGCAAATAAAGGTTAATTGCAGTCCGAAAATTACTCAAGCTCCTGACCTGTATGTTAATTCAAACGTAATTAGAGGTATAGGTAAATTTATGGTCATTGGTAACATTACTCAATCTTTGACAAAACCTTGTCTTTTTAGTCTATGCAAGAGATAAGAAGCTTAAGAGGAACCGTTTTGTAAAAAAATTGGCATGAAAGGTCTTCCCTTTTACGTGGCACAAAAGGATTATAAAGTGGTAGCCAACTTTATTAACAGACGAACATTTTAATATTTTTTATTTTCATTTTGTAATACCCATTAAATTTAAATTTAAAAAATAGATTCTTATCAAATACGTGACACTATTGCTTTAATTAATTACTTCACCAAAATTACAGTACGGCAAATTTGTTTATTCAGAAACTTCGTGAGCAAATGGCTTTTTTAATTATTCACGTGAAGAACGGTGGTGGTCGTAGTCGTCAACGGTATAGATGTCGTGGTAGGCGCCTTACGGGGGTGGAATGATTCCGCAATAAACACACCCTTAGACGGGGGCGGTGATCGAGCCCGCCCCTAGGTGCAGTCTGTCGGTCACGCGATGTTTCATGTTCGGTTTACTCACTTCAGCAACATTGAGGGAGACTTAATTAATATAGGGTGCGCCTGGCGCGCCCTCGTGCTATTTACCCGAAATAAAAGGTAGTAAAGTTGTTTGCGATTAAATAACTCTAAAGAAATCCAATATTTATATGGAAAGATAAGAATTAAAATTTCATATTAAATTAAAAAATACGAAATTCAATTATTGAGGATTTATTACAATAAATATTATTCCTTTAAAACGTATTATATTAATAAAAAATATTTATTATAACATAAACCTTAAATAGATTCATATTTAAATATGAATACAGATGCTGGAAGGCGATCACAAAAACAATATAAGCCGAGTTTGGCAAGCGGGAGGAATAGAAATAACTGTACACGCTTTCCAATGAATATTGATTATGCGATTGACCTACTATTGCGTCTGAAATGTTTCCCACATTGTTACCTACAACTCTTTTTAAAAATCACCACAACGAAAGCTAATTACCGTTTTAATGCGATAGCTATCATTACAACGGTAGGTTATTTGAAGAACTAAACACAAGAAAGTTGTTAAAAAAAACATTATAAGGTTCAAGTGAGGGTTTTGTTCGGAGGTAAAACTTAATTTATTCATTGAACTAGCTGTGATAATCGGTTTAAAATTAACGAATAAGTATTACATTGAAATTAATTTTGTTTCATCGAACCAGGTTCCCAGTAAATCCACTTCTCACCCACCCCTTCTCTTCTATAAAAGTAAGTCATTTTCAGTGCCGGGAAAACCAATTAGAGGCGCAATCACCGCCTGGCAATTCGGTTTTCCCGAGGCCTACAACGGCGCCATCCATCGACGATGCCGCGAGAAATTGATTTTCCCGGGAGGGCCCAATGTCATTTTCGTCGGGGGAAGGTCGCAGGGGCGACATTCTCTACTAGTTCTTCTCTTCTCCAAGTCTGAAGAGGTACATTTACATGGGACCGATGCGGATTTTTAATTGAATTTTCACGCCTGCTCCCTTCCTTTTGGTGAAAACACGTAAGAACGATAAATATCTTCGCCCGGGGATAAAAGACTAACTCCTAAGCGGACCGAACCGAAAGTATTATGCAAATGCGACCAAGTCGGCGTCGGTGGCGACGGCGACCGAACGAGAAAAGTTTCCTAATCCTTGATCCTTTCTCAAGTGGAAGTCTGTATATGCCAGGAATGTATCATAATAATTCATGAACGTGATAAAGACAGCCTATAACACACTATATTATACACCATGTAAACGATATCGAAAGTCGCGACAATGAAAACGACACGCAAGATAAATAATTTTCAATTATACAAATTTTTTTTAGTGTCACGTAAAGAAAGTCAAGAGTTATGTTTGTAATAAATTCAATTTAACACACGTGTAATTCAAATTGTACATTTCACTTCAAATTCAACACGCGCCTTAGTCATGAAGTGCATTTAGAAATCGACTTACTGAAAAATACTAAAGGGTGTTAAAATGAAAAGGTTATAAAATTCGCAAAGATTAATATAGCCCCTTTTAATACCCCCTTTCTTAAATCAACTCGCTTTAATGAAAAGGTGTGAACGTCCTAGTCGACCATCGATTACCGTTAATCGATTAATGGCCTTCTAAAAATGAACTTGAGTCCCGTTTTAACGATTCGATAAATTATTACAGGAAAAGCCATTCCCGGACCCATCATGGCCCGACGGTTATATCGCGATAAGGGCGGTTATTCCACACCCGCACCTTTTTATAGTCCCCGGTCCCCGTTTAGATGGGGTGTAAATTTTTTATTGTGTGCGAAAAATATTGATTGTCGCTCTTTTTATTGGCCGTCAAAAGCTTTATCGCGCCGCTCTAAGCGCCGTCGAAGCTTTCTAGTAGGTCAGATTTAAGCTTGATGTTGGTTTAACGGTGTAAGACGTTCAAATAATTATTATTAAAACACATTAACTTATAATGAAGTTTAAAGAATTATGTTTTTATTTGAATAATACAATAATTCAATTTAGAAAAAGAAATTCTTTGCTAACAATGACAGCGCAGCTTTTCTTAGTGGCACCACTGCGTAAACAAACTCTCAGAGGAATTCTAATTAGCGTTGAAAAAACGAAATAACACTGCCCCAGCCGGCAGCTCATTTTCTAAGGATCCTTGTACTAATTGACTGGTTCAGCAGCACCATTCACGATTTCCTTTCTGAACTAATTAATTGGAAAAAGGGTACACTTAGGTCGCTGCGTTCCTTTTTCTCTTGAATTTCTCAATTTTCCACCGGGTACACCGTACGTAGTAAGGTCGTTATACAATTGTGTTAAGTTTTTACCTTTTTGTTCCCTCGGCACGCTTCGACAATTCACAACAATAACTCGGTGCGGCTGCAACTACAAAAACCGCGATAATTTCTCGTTTCGAGATAACAATCTAGGGGCAAGCGATTACGATTCGATTACAGATATTTCTTCTTGTTAAAAGACCCACGCAAAACATTCTTATGCCACATTCTACATTTAAACCGAGTCTTTACAATTTATTTCGAAGTTATTGTTTGAAAGTTCGATTTATTCGCGTATAAATAAACAATACGAACCGTTTCGGTTTTGGTATTTACTACGTTCGTAACGAAATTACCATTTGTAACGAATTTTAAAACACTTCCTTATTTACTTTTATTCGAACTCATTTTATTTGATACCTATTCGCCTTAATAGTGTAAATTCCTTGTGTATTACGAAAGATACGTAACCCTAATTTTTCAAGAACTTTTTTTATAATTACAAATTAGTCTTGAATAACACTAGAAAGTAATTCAAAATGTATTTGGAACTCCCGGAAGGTAATTTACGTTAAACGTGGTAAAGTGAAATAAATCTAATTACATAGAACAACTAGAGGGATTCAATTTCATAAAATAAAATTTGTAAATATGATTGTATTATTTGTAGAGTAATTAATATCAGTGCAAATAAAGATAATTGTACACCAATGGTTTTTTGTAATTTAACAACTTAAAAAGAGGACTTAATTTAATTAAAATGAATCATTTAAAAACTACCAAATAACGCTGAGGATGTGGTCAAGCTTATCTCTTCACTAATTAACCACATGTACAATAAATTTCATTCTGATCGATAATATTTAAAAAAATAAGTGCTTTGTATTTTTTATAAACGTAAATGTTTCTTTGTTGTATTAAATACAAAGAAAACCAGGTAATATCATAGAGAATGTTAATCAATGTAATCTGTAATAGCGCCATCTAATAGGACAATTAATTGAATCAAATGATAAGGATCTATGGAAAACAGCAAAGAGCATACAATAATAAATTAATTATATTGCAAGAAAGAAAATCGTAATGTTAACCGACCACCCAAAACTATCATAATTAAAACATCATTTATCTTACGATTAATTTAACGGAATTAGATGTTTAAAGTATCTTATTAGGTGTACTCGATTTTTATGAAATCAACTGTACTATAAAACGAAAGCAAGAATCAATGTGCAACTAAATTTTACTAAAATATTTCCGCGTAACCAACATCGCTTTATCAACCTTTTAGATCACCAGATAATAGAATTTATCGTATAAACCACCATCAACAAACTTTACAAAACTCCATTTGCTCGAAGCAACAACCTGCTTTGTTTCCGGAATTAATCTCCATTTAAGCTGATTAAACTTTTGCAATAAATGTTTTTCTCTCAAACCCGGTAATCAACGTTAGCTTCATTAATTCAAATGTCAAAAATACCCAATTCAATATAAAATTGGATCGGTATAAAAATTTAAAAAATATATTTCTTACCTGTACATCGAAGTTATGTTGCTGCTGTTGAAGAACTGCGCTGTCCACTTGGTGAGGTTGTGGGGGAGGAGGAGGATATTGGTGTTGTTGATCGTAAGGTCCGCCAGGCGGTGGCTGTTCGGCGAAATGCTCGAATTGTTGATTAACGGAATCGGCGAGAGTTACTCCGAGATGAGGTCCCAAATGGGGTTGAAGATGCTGCTGCAGGTGAGGAGGCAATGGCTCTTGAGATGGTTTCATTATGACCACGCTGGGTTCCAGCAAGCCATTTTTGGGGAGATCTTCCTCGGCAGGAGACGGCTGTCTACTACCCGGAGTACGACTAAAATAAATAATTACATATTACATAAATAAATAAAAATTCAAATTTAATAAATCATCTTTGAAATAAACTTTAAAGCTTTTAACTATCGGCATTCATTAATTTAAAATTGTACGCTGAAAGTTGTATGAACTTCCTCAGTACGACGCTTCGTCCTTATAACTTTGCTCGACTTCAGTTTAGAGATTTAAATATTAAAGTAGTGCTACAATTGGAGTTCTGAACAGTTAACTTTTAGAAGATGAATACGAAAAGGGTATGAAATATTAGATGAATAAATCGATATTCTATTTTAAACAAAGTTTGAGATGAAGAACCTCACCATACTTGATCATGTAGTTAACACTCTTCAGATGAGTGTTTGAGAAAACAGCCGAAAACAGTTACGCAAATAACCAGTTAAATGTTTATTTACTCATAATAACGTAACGGGAATTCATTTAGAGTAAGAATTATAATAATTTTTTCGGTACCTTCTTTTATTTACATTTGCATAATAGGTTGATTAATACCAGATATTATACAAAAAGGTTAACTTATATCGCGTAATGATCAAATTATATTTACACGTTTCCTATTTACGACAATCTCGTATTTCTTGGGCAAAAACAAGAAAATTCACAATATCAAACCACGCAGCCGTTTATTATTCATTCACGATAACCATTATGTAACTGGAAACGATTTATTATCTGATTTGATCGCTTATGCAAATTGTAAGGAGGGAAAATCGGTAGCCCGTACTTGCACACGAGACCAATTATAGATTCGAGACAATTATCTGTACTAAAACGTTCGCCGGACATGTTCGAAATTTTCTTTGGTACGCTAAATTGAATATTTATTGGCGCGTGTCTTTTGCCTTATCGGGTGAAGTGTATATTTACTTCCCGGTTACATACACACACCCATTTTCAATTCATTAGGAACCACCATACGTTACTATTTTTTTCCTTTCGCCGTGTTATTTTAAACCACCAAAAAAAGCGTGCCCGCTAAACTAGTTAAACATTTTACGCATGAAAGATTTAAACTAAAACGAAATCAACGGAACCGAGATTATTTTATTAACGATTTTTAATACTACAACTTTCCAGTAAGGCATCCAACCTGAACAAACACACCTTTGAGCTTAGAGCCACGGTTATCAACATTCAAATAGACTCAACGTTTTAGTTAGTATTTTTTAAAAAGCACAAGATCAAACGAAAATATTTACTTGGTTACATACAGATAACGCCATCTAACGATGAAAGGCTAAACCTACAATCTATAGAAAACATTCCTGTATTACCGACTACAAATAATTACATTAATTGAAAGTAACATTGCATTAAACCACCCACAACATAATTAAATTAAATAATAATATTTTATAATAATAAAAGCTAAGGTAGGAATAAACTGTAAAATAGATGTTGATTCAATAAAGGTTCTGAACTCGGCTACGAAATTCCGCTTCTCACCGCTAGGTGGAGCCACCGTTCAATAAAGCGAAGTTCCCAAGGTGATGGCACAGCGTCATAGACTAACTTGGTGGGAGGGATACCGTCACCTTGGCGTGCACATGTCATTGACACGACCCAAGGTAGACTCAGGACCTTGAGAGAGAACGTCGTCTGATCTAGTAAACTTCGAGACCAAACGAATCCCTTCCAAATCGTTCTGTTTCTGTACTAAATGGTAAAACAGAAGGTTTACCAGACCGTTTTAAATATACCACGGAGTGAAAAGCGCCGGAATATAAACGGTCTTTCGGTCGTACATTTGCAAATTAGCACCACCTCGTTTCCATTCATCTCCACTCCTACATAAAGGATATAACCCCGTGTTGTTTTGTTGTAGTAAAACAAAAGGGTTTTTATGTTTTTATACGGTTTTTATGAAGGGGGCTTATAAATCGTAGAGGGACTGGTTTTATTTTAATTGGGCAATTAAGGAATATCGAGGCAGACTGTTTTAAAGGTGACGATCATTTTCTTCGAGATATTGACAGGAGGTTGCGTGACAAAGAGTTGTAAAAAGTGGGTTTTGTTATAGTGGTGAGAATAACGATAAGGTCAAAGGTGTGATCTTATTCTTTAGCGTGAGATTAATTTAATATTTGAATTTTGTAACTTAATCACTACTTAATAGAATATTTACGATTTAATGTTCGGAGTGAATTAATTTAACCAATCAATATTAATTAGATATCCAATACACATGTAATTAGATTATGCAGTTGAATAGTTTGAGATATATATATATATATATCTATGATTAATTTTATTGCATTATTTACTTACTTGAAACTCTTGTCATCATCAGAAACTTGTCCATTTTGTACAACCGCTTGCCCGTTCACCTCCTCCTTGGGACTTTGCGGTTTATCCTTGTCCTTGTCGTCGAGGTGAAGGGCGCGTATTCTTGGTTCCAAACCCATATTGTCTTTGTTCGTAGGTGAACTTCCAAGAACGTATTCAACCATTTTGACCCCTAGACCGCCGGTATCGGAACCCCTTGGAGACAGGATGTTGCCCGTGTCTCCGCCGGCAAAGCCGCCCCTGCGTCCCATCGTTAAAGGGGCGGATACAGGATGTTCCACTAAAAAAAAAATAGAAAAAATACCTAATTGAACTAAAGTTCCACACAAAAAATTAAAACACCAACTTTTATCATTTCAAAAAAATTACGTCGTGCACTGTAACTGGGAAGTCGTAGGTATATGACATGAAGGTACTTTTAATCCGAATGTTATTTACAAACATTGAACGCTATCTTATCTTTACCCTACTCTGTAGACCAAGATCGTGTAAATAGTATCATGTAGGGTACACGTAAAAATAATATTCGTTGTTACACTTGAAAATATCGAAACGTGATATTTGTAACTAAGAATATCTTTGGAAACAAATTATCCACACTACACTACACTTGACAAATTGGAAGATAAATTGAACTAAAACTAGAACTTAACACTAGCACTATCACAAGAATTAACATTAGACCTAGAACTAGAAATATTCGGATTAAGCCAAACGTTAAATAGGAATACAGATAATGGATTATCAGCAATATAATTAGTTGAAGAAATCTGATTAATATTGGGGCTCTAAAGAAAAATATGAAATTGTTATATGAAAAGTATATTAACCGAGTTACCATACACCAAGAAAACGATAAATGGCTTTCGTTGGAAATCGTAAGCTCCCTCATAATTCAATTTAATGATTCGCCCCAGCAGCGTTAAGTATAATCTCAGGCTATTATGCATGCAAATCTTGAAATGTGTAAGTGTAAAATGCGATACGTTAGATCGGTTAATCTTCTAATGTCACACAAAAAGTTTGTCGACGTTGCTGCCACCAAGCTATTGTAAATGAAATTTATTTGTCCCCCTTTACGCTATTGTTTGTTTATTCGGTAAATAATGACGCGAGAAATCCTGTAACAGCTATTTTTTTTTTTTTGACAAAGTGGAAACCTCACGGAAACCTTGTCAAATATATGTAGGTGCCGATCGATAAAGTCGTAAAAATTTAACGCAAGTTTATTAGTTTACTACACGGGTTGTTTGTGACAATTTATAAATTTTATATAATAGTAAATATAGGTCAATTCGATTCTGATCTCTAAGTGGTAGTTCGAAAATTATATATTCTAAACCAATTACAATACATTATAGCAACAACCTTGAAACTACTACCGTAATCGACCTTGTTAATAATATTAAGAGTTATCCTCACCCTAATGATGTAATCTTTATTTCATAAGATTATAAATTCTATAAAACAAAAAGGTGGATCAAAAAAGCACAATAATAATAATATAATATCTAAATCATAAAATTGTTCGTGATTGTTTCTGAAAACCGTAAACACGTATAAAATAGTATTTTAAGATTAACTGTGCAATTTGTTTTACATTGCAAGATTACTTAAAAAGTCGTAATTTTTGCTTTATTTCTTTGAATATTTTGCGTGGTAGACAGTGTCGTCGTTCCATAGGGCGGGGTGCGGTGGAAAACGCCGGCGTCGCGACGCTTTGCGTCTGTGTGACGGACGGGCGTGCCGGGGCGTCGGCACCGGTCTCCATGGACACGCCGGCGTCTGTCGCCTGGGCAACTGGCTCCCGGACGAGCCGATGGGAATTCAATCAACGGCTGCTCTTCGTGGTTCCAGGAATACAACCGAATAACCTCTATCATTACCAGGGAACTATTAGAAATAAATAACTTTGCCAAATTGAAATGATCTAAAATTAAGATTTTGAATTCATTTTCTTTAAAAAAAAAACATCTAAGAAAAAAATCGTAATTCAAAATCTTTTCTCAACCGAGACGACGATGTAATATCCTTTAAAACGTTTCCGCCCCTTCTCGTAACCGGATCATCATTTTATAGAGCGGCGGCGGACGGAGCTTTCAGGTGAATGTTCTCACTACTTTATTATAACCGTCAAGTTGAGCTCGGGCCAATATTTTAAGCTCGAAAAATAGAGTCGTGCCCCGACAAGGCGCTCCATGAACGTTGGTCGTTGTTGATGATGACGTAAAAACTTCAATGAAAATCCGTTGAGTTTTATTCAACGCGCTCTCCAAAGCGAATGCTTGAAACGCTTCAAAACCACTCAAATAGTGTAAGTGAAATTATAAACAAACCCGAGCGTAAACACGGACTTACTATCGTTGGCCGACTACGTCCTGCCATAATAATTCTCATTGACGCAAGCGGTTAACCGGGACGTGCTTACAAACTTCCAAAGGCGCAAACACATACACATATCATCATTTACACCCTCTCTTTAACAGTTTACATAATCAAAAATTTAAAAAGACTTTAAATTTGATTCATGTGATAAGTTTGTTTTAAACGCTATTCGATTTGCGCGTTCACCGGAATTGGTAAGATAAAGATCGCATTAGAACCGATTCGCGCACTCGTACAAAACAAGCACTACGTCTGTTTCCGGTGGCTTCGTTAAGCTTATTTTGGAGACCATCGCCGCAGCACAATCTGTCGAGAAAACGTTCGAGTGCATCTCGGCGGAGATAAGCTTTTTCATCCGATATTATCGAAGAGGGTTTTCTCAAGGAACGTTTTATACACAACGTCTTTTAAATTGCCAACAAAAGGAGAAATTATCGAAAGTAAAAGTAATGCGTTATAGTGAGAACGTTGGTAGAATTTCAATTGTTTGAAACAATGGTAATTTTAAACAAAAAATAACCCAAAAAGCCTCGAGGGTATTCACGGAAAACATTGGACTAAGTTAGGATTAAGCTTGAAAGTCTGTTTTTAAAAGAAAATATTGTTTAAGCGAAATCAATCATCAATAAAATTTGATTTTAATCATACTGAAAAATAATATTTAAAAATAATTTAAAGTTTACAGGATTATAGTTAACGATACCATCCACTTGCAATTGAGATCTAACTAGTCTCCTTTGTTTAAGCAAAAATAGGACGGTGCAACCGCTGCCGTGATGAGCGCAGGATGCCAGAACCCTGCATCAACTTTGACCTAAATACGAGACGAAGTACAACGCCCCCTGGGTATAACATAGATGAGACGGAGAGAACCACTACACTCACGTAGGGGAGAGAAAAGCTTTGCTTCCCACGTCACTTGCATACGACAAATTACCGCCAGCAAAACACTACCGCTTAACATACTACAATTTACTAATAACCAAAAAGATAAAAATAAACTTTTGTTCACCTGGTGCTGCCCATGTTGGATCTCTCCATACACCTTCCACGTGGTTGAGATGGTGCAGGGCAAGCCCTTTACCGTCTTTCCCTCCTTCCAGGCCCCACAGCTTCTTCGTTGATGAAGCAATCTGTAATTAAAAAAAAAGGAAATGTATTATCTATATTAGAAATTTATAAAAATAATTACCATATTTACAAATTATAGTACAATTTCTTAAAACTACAAACTGTACAATATGTATAACTTAAAAACTACGGCCTACATAACGCGACGAAAAGACAAGCACTAAAAGAATTTTTGACAGATGCTTTGGGGGGTTGCAAGTTACGAAGGGTCGCTATTGTATTACATATACCGTGACGGGTTTATTGGTTGGTCGCGTTGAAAGTGGGGGAATTCCCACTAGTTTTTTTTGCTAGTTCCGGTAGCAGTTCGAGTAATGTAGTGCGAATAAAAAATGCAAAAAGCGCCGTAGCGTTTCCACAAATAAATTATTGTGATATTGTGCCGGTTGTAATTAACTACACTAGTCAATTCAATTATATAATTATGATTATCTATATGATGAAATGCCGACAAATGAATGTGCGTCTGAAGACGCACGGCTAAACCCAAAACTTTCTAGGTCTAGTGTTAGTTCTAGTTTTAGACTTGCACTGTCACTGTAATTAACACTATACCTAGAGCCAGAATCATTCGGGAATAGCCGTCTTAACACACGTTCAACTAAAGAAACTCTCTAACTCTGTTTCTACTTCTAGTATTAATAGTAGTGCCAATTCTAGTTTTAGTTTATTATAATACTACTATATTAATAAATTAAGTCATAGGTCGCTTAAAATTCTTATAATAGAACCAAGTGTGTGTTTAATAGTTAATTTCCAATGATATTTATTCTTATTGCATAAGATCATCGCTTTCTAAACGTAGCTTTACAAGATTCTTTGGAATTTTCTACAATAAAAAACACATACAACCTACACAAATCCTTGGATGACATCTATTGTGTATACCATAAAGCAGTGCCCTTTCTACATTCGGTCACCCGTAAAATATTGTTGTCAATTTCGCTGCTATTTGCTAAATGTTAACACTATTGTGTTTCTATCTTCGTTTTCAATTGCAAAAGTTCTCGCCATTTATAAGGTAACGTGTTAAAATCTGCCAATTAATGTACGAAAATAATAAATATGTTTGCATTTGTAATAGGTTTCAATTTATATGTACGTGTTTTAGATTCTTTTCTGGTTTTAGAGTGAGAATATGACAAGAGGGATGTGATAACTGGCTATAGGCGTGATGTATCCACTGAACGTCCGGACGCTGACGTTAGTGGTGGTGGCGGCGGCGAGGTCGCGACCCGCAGGTCTTTGGCCTAGACCCCGCTAGACAGCGGTCGATAAGCGAGCTGGAGCCGCACTCCACCGTGCCTCACTGCCACAACCGCCGCTGCCGCCAATGCGGTCGTCCAACCCCCACCGAACGACGAACGAACGAAAGGCAGCATACGGTGGTGGTGGTGGCGTTTTACCCGCCCTAGAACCGGTGGAGGAGGCAAGAAAAGTCGCACTGCGCGCCACCAACTACTCCAATAACCGACAAAACTTTGTAGTTTATGCGCGGAAAGTTCATCGTCGGTAACTGGGCAAGAATGCTCGGTTCCCGTTTTCACTGAATTTTTAGAGGCCGGCTGAATTCAGTTGGGGTCGTCGGTCGATTTGTTCGTAATTGGGAGGGTTGTTCAAAAGATTCCATCCCAACTACTCTCTTCGCCGCATACTTTCAAAGAGGTTGTTTGCGTCCACTCATATTTTATATTGAGTAGGGAAAGTCAACATAAAGATCATCCCCAACATCAAGATTTTAAACAAATTTGTTAATTTCACAAATAGTCAACGAAATCCTAGCAAACAAATCAGTATAACCCTGTGTACAGTAATCGAGTCTACATAAACAGAGCTAGCATTATATAGATATATGTCGCATTGAAAGCGTATTGAGCGGAAATACGACGACGAATGGTTCTATCTTTGTCGGTTTAACGTGCAATGCGGGCGAACTTGACGGATTAGACGTATAAAAAGAAGTATGGGATATCCCCGGATCGGTCGTTTGTCTCTTTTGAAGTGAGAAATGTTGTTCCAATAACGAACAAATATAATAATTCTTAATCTGAGAGAAAATAAATTTGTTCCAAATAAAAAAGGAAAAGTAATAATTAACAGTAACTAAAAATTAGACAATTTCAAACATTGTGAATTATTCATTCAGTAGAGAATTTATTTGTTCCGGTATGAAGATCTGTTTCCTCTGCAGTTACAATCATAAATAATGTATATATAAGATGGGATTTAAATATCTTCGACGCTTCCACATTTCACAGACAACGCAAATGTTCTTTAGAAGACTATTTATCTTCTATTTATAGAAATAAAAGTATTCGACGACTATTTATAAACCAGAGAAATTTACTTCCAAGGTTAGGTCGCCGTTTAGTTTACGTCACAACCAGATATATTCTCACATAAGGAACCATAGCCACAAGAACTGTACCTAAGTATATAATATAAGCACTGTATATCGTGTAGCTAATTAGAAACGTGACATTCAATAACTTATTCCAGCCCACATTGGATAGATAACCTTATATGTTCGTTGCCACCTGTGCGAATTGTTTAATTCTGCCTGCACTTGATTAGCCTTCAATCCCAACACAAATTGCACCAATATTCAACACATCGCGTTATCCCATGATTTCCAAGGAAATTCATCATTACCTACAGGCGACGCGTTAATATTGAATTACACCATCGACTTAGCATGATAAACCGCAACATCCTCAATCAAATTCCGAGATTAAATCAGAGTAGAAATTAACATTTTAAATGTATGTATATACATTTCTAAATCTATTGATCAGAGTTGCTCCACGTGTTAATGCTTTGACCTTAAATTACAGCTGTGACAGTCACGATATACCGAACAAGTTATTGAATGTGTTACATAAAAAGAAGCTAAAAGTGGCGCCATCGACTATCGGGGTAAATCCAAGCCGGTCATCCCTTACTGGGGTGACTCATAGAAATCTCCCTCTGTAACGTTCAAACGTAAGAACCCTCGTTGATTACGTACAAACCCATCTGGACATTTTATATCCCACGGGGAATATTAAATATGAAAATATTTACGAAAATGAATATCTATTAGTCATGGATATTATTTAACTTTAACTAAGTTTTTAATACTTTTCCTAAGATCTAACTCGAGCAAAAAAATTCTCATATAACATTGGAAATGTCGGAGTTAAGCCAAGCGGCACGCAGACAATGATCCCTAGAATAAAGCAAGTTGTGGTGCAAGTTAATGCTAGATATTTTTTAAGGCTCAACTCAACTAAATAAACAATATCAAATTGGTAAATATACCAACACGAAACGAAAGATACCTTGTAAATTTCTAACAAAACCTCTTAAGAGAAAATAGATATCTTCTATGATCAGTGTGTTACATCTCTTAAAAACCATTAAGTTAAAAGGTTTACTTTTTGCATAAAAGCACTCCCTAACATTATTGCAGTTAGTTGCTAAAGTAAGAAGTTCATTCCCCTGACGGTGTAAATTATTTTCATAAATGACCATTATGAGCACTTACGTAATACATACGCCTAACTAATCTTAATTTAAATGAATTTTAAACTAATTTAGTGAGCTATTAGTACAATTTAACACCAACGGTATTTCTTCTTCAAACTTATATCAAACTAACTTAGATGTATTAAGTGATAAAAGATGCTTAATTACGCAACAAATTCAGGTTTTGCTTGTGTGCTTGGATAATTAATGTTCTTTTTGTCCTCGTGACAACAACTAAATCTGAAGGTCAATACAAGATTGTTCCGAGCGAGTAATTATTATTAACTTAGTCTCACTCATTTTCATAAATTAACTTACTAATTCTGTTTAAAGTCAAAGGTAAATGAAATATATTTAGAAGTTACAAAGCTAACAACAAACAATTAGTAACTATAATCGTGTAGTAGATTGTTCGTATCAAAAATAAAATATAGACCACACGCGAAGTCACGAGCAGGCACAGCGTTCGTTTCGCCATACGATTCCGAAAGAAACGTGCCCGGGCATTTGTTGCGAATCGTCGGACCGTCCATTCGCGTCCATCTGTTGTAGTACAATTGGAGCTGGTGTAAACGCGAGAAGACGAAACCCCGACGGCGATGACAAGGCGTGCACAAGTTAAACGATGGATGGTGGCAGCAGCAGGAGAACCCGAGAGAGTCCGAGAGCCTGGCAACCGCAGAATGGAGTGTCAATGCCCCACTGCCAAGGCCAAGTCGCTGCTGCTGCCGCCGCCACCGCCCCTCTTCTGTTCCCGCTCGCGTAAACGTGCAGAATCCGCGAGCGAGCCAAGGAACAGAACGGCGGCAGCGGTGGATCGGCTTGCTGGCGTCGTCGTCGCAGACACTTTCGATTTCCGGCAAAGAAACTTGTAAACGCGGTTAGAATGCTGCGTGGTCTGCGCGTTACTAAAACCGGTGGCGATCGAGATTCTTGGTCGCGAACCACGATACCGTACCGGTACTTAACAACGTGTAAACGCCGATGTTACTTTCTTCCTATGGTACCATTATTACCTAATACAGCAGTTAATGAGTTTATTCTATTTATCGCTACAAGTTAATTTCGTCTCGGGATTACTTACTAAAATTTTCGAGATGGTTTTGTTATTACTTTGTTTACAACCCAAAAACAAAGAACAAGTTTGGATATTTAGATGGTTATTATATTAGATAAGTTACGAGATGAATATCAAACTTCGCCAGGCAATATTCCAGAAATATCCTCGCATCCGGAGACTAAGTTAACTAATTATAATTGTATAGCTCTGAGCGGTCAAAATTCTGCAAGTACGTTGTTAGTGAAAATGATATTTGTTTGGATACCAATTAAAATTAATTACCTATCATTTACAGGGAATTTCTAGTATTGATTCAATCGTTTCATAACTTTTATCCAAGCAATTTCAATAACAACTTGCAATTTCTCTCTATTAAACATCTATAATATAACGTTAAGAAAATTTTTCGTTTTTATGGTCAACTATATCATAGCG